ATTATGTTGAGGTATGATCCTCGTTGAGAGTTTTTATCAGGAAAGGGTGTTGGATTTTATCAAATGCTTTTTCTGCATCAATTGATATGACTATATGATTTTTATCTTTCAATTTGTTTATGTGATGTATCACGTTTATTGATTTGCAGATATTGTACCATCCTTGCATTCCCGGAATAAATCCTACTTGGTCGTGGTGTATGATCTTTGTGATGCTCTGCTAAAGCCGATTTGCTAGAATTTTGTTGAGGATTTTGGCATCTATGTTCATGAGGGATATTGGCCTGTAATTCTCTTTACTGAGTTGTCTTTATCTGGTTTTGGTATTAGGGTGATGCTGGCTTCATAGAAGGAATTTGGAAGTGTTCCTTCCTCTTGGATTTTTTGGAATAGTCTGAGGAGGATAGGTTTTAGTTCTTCCTTGAATGTTTGGTAAAACTCTCCTGTGAAGCCATCTGGCCCTGGGCTTTTGTTTGCTGGAAGCTTTTTGATGACTGTTTCAATTTCTTCGCAAGTTACTGTTCTATTGAGATTTATAGATTCTTCCTGATTGAGTTTTGGAAGGTTTTATTTCTCTAGGAATATGTCCATTTCCTCCAGGTTGTTCAGTTTGTTGGAATAGAGTTGTTCGTAATATTTTGTAACAATCCTTTGTATTTCAGCGGGGTCTGTTGTTATTTTACCTCTTTCATTTCTGATTTTGTTTATTTGGGTCCTCTCTCTTTGTTTCTTGGTTAGCCTGGCTAGAGGTTCATCTATCTTGTTTATCCTTTCAAAGAACCAGCTCTTGGTTTTGTTGTTCTTATATATTGTTTCTTTGGTCTCTATGTTGTTTATCTCTGCTCTAATTTTTGTTATTTCCTTCCTTCTGCTTACACTGGGCTTTTCTTGTTGCTCTGTTTCTAACTTTTTGAGTTGTAGAGTTAGATTATTTGTTACCATTTTTTCTAGGTTTTTGCAATAGGCTTGTAGGGATATGAACTTCCCTCTTAAAACTGCTTTTGCTATGTCCCATAGATTTTGGATTGTTGTGTTTTCATTGTCATTTGTTTCCAGGATGTTTTTAATTTCTTCCTTGATTTCTCTGGTAACCCAGTCCTTGTTTAATAGCATGCTGTTTAATCTCCATGTGTTTGATTTCTTTGTATTATTTTTATTGTAGTTAATTTCCAGTTTTATGCCATTATGATCTGAGAAGATGCTTGATATGATTTCTATCTTCTTGAATTTGAAGAGACTTTGCCTATGCCCCAAAATATGCTCTATCTTTGAGAATGTCTCTTGTGCACTTGAGAAGAATGTATATTCTGTGGCTTTGGGGTGGAATGTTCTGAAGATGTCGATTAATTCCATCTGGTCTAGTGAGTCATTTAGGATTGATATTTCTTTGCTGATTTTTTGTTTAGATGATTTGTCAAAGGATGACAGTGGGGTATTAAAATCTCCTACTATGATTGTATTGCTATTAATCTCTCCCTTAATGTCCTCCAGCAGTTTTTTTTTTTGTTTTGTTTTGTTTTTATGTATTTGGGTGCTCCTGTATTGGGTGCATATATATTTACCAGGTTAGCAATGGAATTAGGAAACCTATCTTTTATTATTTCCTGGAAAATAGTTTCAAAGGAAACCAACTACACTAAGAGTTGCTGGGCCAATCCCTGGCATAGGCATGTAGGTGTCAATCTAGAAAAGCATTGGCACTGCAGGTGGCAGTTGGCTGGCCCTCAGACGGGAAGGGAGTCCCTCATCCCAACCTTTCTTTCTGACCTCAGTTATTTACAAAAATAAATGCACTACCAAGTCTCCTCTGTGGAAAAGTGTGGCAAAGCATTGCCATTACTTCTGAGTGGCAGCATCTGCTGCAGCACACACACTGGGAATATGTAGTTTTGTGTGTCTCTGTGATGAATCGCATTCAAGATTACTACGTGCACCCTCATGAGCATTGTCCAACATATGCAATGCAACGTTACACGCAGCCCTGGAATCACACATAACATTAAAATAATCTTAGAAGTGCTATAACCTTTTGCATCGGGATGGCCCTTTTGCCCATTTCACATGTAATTGGCATGCAGACCATCCATGGAAGATAAAATTATATAAACAAAATTAACGTAATTCTGGCTTCAGGACACTGTACTCATATTTTCTCAGGGCTGAATGTAATATTTGTGCTTAAGTGTTTCCTGAAATAAACTTTTAAAGTGTTCACTAATCTTGCTATCACTGAGAACAGACCTCCCCCAAATGGGCAAAACTTCCAGGAAAACATTGGTGCACCTCCCAGCCTATCATATGGAAAGTGATAGCATAACCGAACAGAGGTAGAAGTTGCTGCGCATAACAGCAACTTACAACCTTGGGGCCTGGAATACTAATCAGTGGCTAACTGGAAACTGAGCTCTAAATTACGATCCATAGGGATTGCTTACCGCAAACCACTGAGTTCACTGGGCTTCTTAAGGATCACTTCCTTGGAGGGACTGGTCATAAAAAGCCAAACCTCCCATAGCTATAGGAAAACAAGTCGTTTCTTTGGGGTTGGGAGGGTATAATTGGTTTCAAAACACATTAATATTGTATTTTTTTCTTCAAAATGAGACTAGCCTCAACATTTATATGATTATGAAGTTATGCACATTCATTGTATTAAATTTTAAAAGTCAAGACCAAATGTGGTAGAGAATACTTTTTTTTTTCAATGATACAAACAGAAGGTTTCTTCCGCCCCCTTTTTTTTATTGTTTAAAATATTACATACATCTCCTTTTTCCCCAATTGACACCCCCCACTCCTGCCCCCTAGGACAAGCCCCCACCAACCCAGAGTCCATTGGTAAATGCTCATGCATACAAGCCCTTTGATCTCCCCCACCCCACCCCCTTCTCCTGCCTTCTCTCTGAGGTTGGATGGTCTGTTCAGTGTTTCTTTGTCTCTGGATCTATTTTTATTAAGAATACATTTTAAATCATCTCTACAGTAATTTCTTCCCCCAATGATTGCTACTCTTAACATTTTAGTGTAGATCATTACAGAATCTCTATTAAAATTATCTTCTAACAAGGTTCATGCTCACTTATAATAAAACTAAAAATAGATATCATTTTTTCAAGTATTATATATTTTTGAACTGTTTTTATTGCATTCTCTTACATAAAATTAAAAATATGTGTTCAAGTCATTATAAAAAATACTCAAAAGAATTTTTTAAAAAAACATATCAGATAGTGTTACCTTCATTAGTCATTAGTAACTAATTTATGTGTCCATATTGACCAAAATTAATGTCTTACAATTGCATTAACATGATGGAATTAATGATTTGTAATTCATTTGGAAAGCCAGTAAGACAGACCCTCAGTTTTGCAGACCTCGATTTAACAGATTTAATTAACGGACAGAATTACTGGTTCATATATCATATGTGAAAATTAACACCCTGTTAATTTTAAAGTGCTTAAAACAAGTTTTGCTTATAATTAAATTAACAGGTTATTTTTCTGTTATTAATTTTAACAAATTTTAGCAGAATGACCATATGTAGGAGAAAACATTGTAGAAATTTCACAGACAAAAATAAATATTACATGTCTGCAACCATAGTCTACATATTTAAATCTAAGAGTCGCTGTTCATAAACAATGTTCAGGGGAATGATTAGCACGTGATGACACCACATTGCACACAGTGACTGGTTCCGTTATCGTGTGACCTGATTTTCTGCAACAGTTTAACCCTTGCAGGCCCATGTTCAACCTGCGCTGAGCCACCCCCAGCCGTGTGCTCTGGTTCACTCCTGGCAACTGGTGAACACACGCATTTACTAGACCTACTCAGTATCATTTAAAGTGGCAGTAATGCATATAAAAAACTTTTCTGTGAAAGTAAACTTCTCATACACACTTAATTTTAATTATACAAATGTGTCTACACAAGGAAAAAATGGGTAAATGAATGTGTCAATTTTGAACATACTCATTTGGAAAACCTGCTTCATCATATAATGGACTTTCAGCTTAAAAGGACGCCCCCTTGCCCATATTAGTCTGTTATATCGGGGGGTTACTCTATTGTCTCTCATCCTATTTCCCTCCTCCCCCCTCCAATCTCTGTCTTGGTCCCCACCTAGTTCTCTCTGACCATTGGTGCTAATAACCTGAGTGACATTAACTCAGTGATGACAGCTGCAAAGTACAGGGTTTCAACGGGGCATCTTTTTGTAAACAGTGAGGAGAGACAATGAACATGGCCTCTTTGTCCATGTGTGCATTGATAGCCCTCAAATAGCTGTGAATAGACTCACAAAGAAACTAGTGCCCTCTGGGGAGGGAATTGAGCGATTGGAGGTAGAGGACAGAGATAGGAAGGGGGTTTATGCACCTCTTTATGCTTTACAAATGGTTATTATACTGCCGATTCGGAAAATGTGAATGAATGTACATATGTATCTGCATGCGTACAAACAAGAATAAAGTTACTAGCTCCCTAGGGCACAGGCTGCTTCTTCGGGTTCCAGAATTTACTAGGTGCCCAGAGAAATGAAACCACTAACTGTAAACAGTCAGCTTATGCCATGCAATGGAAAAACAATTTTACTCTGAAACTCGTTGCAAATGCTGTTCTATAAAAGGCTGCCTGAGAGACTGAGAGTGCCACGCTTGAATCGGTGACTCCACAGAGGCACTCCAGGCCTTGTGTGTGAGAGCACCAGGCCTGGAGGTGCACGCACACAGCAGGGTGGCAGAGAAGCCCGAGGGCAGGTAAGAGGCAGACACTCTCACTCTGATCTCGGTCTTTTCTAAAAGCTGGGCCCTCCTGGTGCTTGGTGTTGTAAATCCTATCATGCCCTTTGGACGACATGCGTGTGATGTGAACAATGTTCATGTTCCCGGGTTAGTTACACTGCTCTGTGCAGGGCTCAGAGGCCCTTGCTATTTATTGCCTCACTATTTTATTTTTATTTATTTATTTTTTATTTTTTTGCTCTTGATTTGCAGGTAGTGAAGTCCAAGTTATCCAAAGAAAATCACTTGATAAAAATAAAACAATCAAGAAATCACACTGTAGGGAGATATTTCAGCAACCAGAGTAAACTTCAGCAGCAATGGGACTCGCCGGGCAATGTTCAGTCGCCGTATCACGTCCGGGGCCCGATTAACCAGGTTTGCTCCGAAATCCTTCTCAGCAGGATGTGTGCGCCCGCGGGAGCTGCCTGATGGGGACTGAACGTGGAACTGAAGACAAACCACTCACCTGGATGATCGTCTAAGACCCGCAACCTGTGCCTCGTGTGCATTTCAGACTGACGACCCGCCTTCATGCTCACCAGCACACAGTCACACACCAATGCACACGTAGCTTAAAAAAAAAAAAAAGTAATGACACGTGTTCCTACCACTTTATAAAGTCAAGATGTGCACTCAAAAATCGGCTGGTTTTCCATGGGAAAGACAGAGCCAGGAAAAGGTTACTCAACATATAATATGGACAAGAACCACTGTGGGCTAGGGTTTGCATTGTGATAATAAAAAGAAACACAGGCACTTGAATTATGGGAGAAAGGCTAATGCATTGAGGGTCGTATTGTATTCTCTGTTGGCCTGTAATACTGAGAAGGGTAAAAAAGCAATTACATTCCACTTGCAAGTAGAGACTGCGCTTGTGTCCTTCACCAGGGAAAAACGTGGCTTCAGCTTTGTGAATCTAATGCTTGCGAAAAACATTTTTCCTATGCTTTTTAAACATTATAATGGAAAGGAAAATAATAAGAATGTTCCACAAGGGAATTCAAATGTTCCACAAGGGAATTCTATGAGATGAGAAGTGTAATATTGGACCGTTAAAACACCAGGAAGTTTAACTTTGCAGTCCTTGTCGTTTTCATAAACATTCCCTCCTATCCTGCCCCTGAACTTGGATGAGTAACTGCAGACTAAGTTGAGTAAACGTGTAATTTTTAATTGCAAAACAACATATAGTTCCCCATGTATGACTTTGTTTCATTGACAGTATTACTTAAGAAAGATTTGGTTTGCCAACAGAGCCCTATGTAATGTAAGGTTACAATTACATTTTATGTAAATATTTTGCCAAGGATTAGACATTCTCAAGTACATAGGCATTCATTTCCATAAAGCATATGTACATGTCCACAAATACTCCTACGTTACTAGTAACTATATTTTTATTTTCCTGAACAACTGTTTCAAATTTAGAGTAGTCATATATTATTTTTTTATTAAAACTGTGGCATACATATAAAACACACCTAAGTCTAGTATTTAGAACTTTTTCTTCTATATTTTCATTTCAAAATAGTAAATTCCTTTATTTTGCAAATGCTTGGTTGTGAGATAATATCTCACCCTAAAATGGTTTTTAAAGGATTAATTTCCTTTTGGGGGGAAAAGAATTGAGAGGGCTAATTCAACAAGTGGCTGAATTACTAAATGTACAAATACCTCAATTGTGTTACCTTACTAAACATAAAACTATTTTGATCAGTGAGTTCCTTAGAATGAATATCCACCTCCTTTAAATACTCTATTTTTATATATATTTTTGTATGAAAGAAAGTAAACATGAATTTATATTTAACTGCCTTAAATTATATTTAAGCACAAATATCACTTGATATAAACAATACATATCTGTATCTGACAGATGATAGATTTTTAAAAAGAATGGTACAGGATTCACTTTTAAAGTGAACGTGGTTTTTTTTCCTATTCTCTGCAGCTATACCATTTTTAGGTTTTTCCTTCATTTTTTAATGAAATAAGATGTTGCCAATTTATTCAGCTTCTCAAGTTTTAATGTATTGCATTCTCTGTAACAGGATACTAGCCAGTGGCTGATTCTTGCAATTTACCATCAACATAATTACAATAACTGTCTACGTGATGTTTGTCTGGCATTTAGCTCTTCACCATTGAAATGATCATGGATGTTAGACACAACTGTAATAACGTTATTAATAAATGTCTTAGTAGTATTCTGTGTTCCTAGAATATCTTTTATTTTCCACTGAAGTTATACAACCATACAAATGGTGGCCACTTGGTACAGATATTATCATGCAGTTTCAACTATGGGAATGTGGTTTAATCAGATTACTATGCTCCAGCCCTGATAGTCTCTACATTTTCATCACATGAACTCCCTGCTGAACAGTGACCAAACCTTTTGAAGAGAGTTCTGTAACAAGCTTTTACCTTTTTTTAAGGTAAGACACTGAAATGGTAGGAATCATTCTATTTTTATTTTTTTTATTGAGAGACATGCAGAGAAAGAGAAACATTAATATTTGTTGTTCCACTTAGGTATGCATTCATTGGTTGCTGCTTGTATGTGCCCTGACCTGAGACCGAACCTGCAACCTTGATGATTGGGATGACGCTCTTCTGAGTTACCCGGCCAGGGGCTAGAAATCATGTAATTGCTCCTTCATTAAAAACACTACCATTTATTCGATCAGGGGGAAACAGGTGTGTGACTATGTGTGCACGTATTCTAGCATTTGGATGTGCTTAGCAAGTTAATCATTTGAGTGGAAAAAAATAGGAGTAGGCATTTTAACACATTTTTAGATGTAAGAGTTAAAGGGAGTGTACTTTTGTAAGGATTGATTAGTATCCAGTCTAAACTAAGCTAAACTAAGGAAAACATGTATAATATTAAAAGCCATGAATAACTGCATAAGTATTTCCAAGCATCACTGTTGACATTGTGCAGGCGTGTGTGTGTGTGTGTGTGTGTGTGTGTGTGTGTGTGTGTGTGTTTAATGGCTCGCTGTGCTATTTGCCAGCCATCCTAGTAGGCAAATCGGATCCCGTAGGGGCAGAGGAAGGAGAAGGGCTCGCTGTTGGCGCTGGTGGAGTCTACACTTGGGTCATTTCGTCTTCCTCATGTTAGTTGCCCCTGTGCATAGTAGTCACTTCTACAGCACAGTGATTGCCACTGAAAAAAGCATTGGGAGAGAGGGAGGGGATTATTGATTTTTAAAATGGAAATAGTAATGTTTATGGGGGAGGAGGGAATAAGATTTCTGCCTCAAGTTTCTCCTTTAATTTTGCTGGATACTGGTTCAAAATTATGTAACCCAAACAGAGTTATTTCAAAACCGTAATGCTTTGGCATTGGGGGGTTTGGGCATGTGGGGAGAGCAGAGAGCTAATGTAATAATAAGATTAATAGCTCCGAGAGATAATCAGGGTTATGATCTTATTAAATAGTAGAGGCCCAGTTCACAAAATTTGTGCAAGGGGGTGGGTGTCCCTCAGCCCAGCCTGCACCCTCTTCTATCTGGACACCTTGAGAGATGTTTGACTGCCTTTCAGAATCCAGGACTGCTGGCTCCCAATTGCTCGCCTGCCTGCCAACTTTATTGCCCCTAACCACTTCTGCCTGCCAGCCTGATCACCCCCTAACCACTCTCTGCCAGCCTGATTGATGCCTAACTGTTTCCCTGCCACCCTGGTTGCCCCAGTCCTCCCCTGCAGGGCTGGTTGCCCACAACTGCCCTTCCCTGCTGGCTTGGTCCCCCCTAACTGCCCTCCCCTGCCAGCCTGGTCCCCCCTAACTGCCCTCCCCTGCCAGCCTGGTCTCCCCCAACTGCCCTTCCCTGCTAGCCATCTTGTGGTGGCCATCTTGTGTCCACATAGGGACAGCCATCTTTGACCACATGGGAGCGGCCATCTTGTGTGTTGGAGAGAGTCAATTTGCATATTACTCTTTTATTAGATAGAATTATTTTATGGGCTCCTTCCTTTGAGCTAATGCTGAAAGATCATCAATATGTGAAATTTTCTCTGTGACTTTTCATCTTATTGAAAAAAAGTCATCAAAATTAGGAGCTAGGATTATGTATTTAAAATGCACAAACAACTTTGAGTAGGCTCACATGGGGCTGATCACCTCAAAAACATGCATGCAAGAGTAAAAGGATACGACAGCAGATCCTACCATTTTGCCTGGATCAAGCAATAATTGCTCTGCCAAAGCTTACTGCAGTTTTCTTCAATGAATCACTGCAGTTCAAATGGCTTTGATTGCACTGGGGCACGAAGGCATTTTGATAGATCACCTCGACTTAGGGGGATGAACCAGAAGTTGTTTGGAACCTCTAAGACCCACTAAAGTCAGCAAGACACTGCCAGTGCCTGCAAACTAGGTTTTTCTACTTGGCAGGGCTTCCAAGGTTTCATCCTGTCAAAGAACCTTTTATCATGTTTTTATTGCTGGAGAAACTGCTATTATCCACTTCCTCGTTTCTTTTATGATGCATTCAGCTGGTGGAGGGGCTGGAGAAGCCATTTTCTCCCCGGGTGATATACAGCCTCCCCCAATGCTGCTCCATTTGTTTTCTTTATGCTCCTTGAAATGGGAAGAATCTGTTTTATGACTCTATTGGATGTCAGGTCACTACACATCCAATACATACTCAAAGTACTAATTCTTAACCCATATCAAGAATATTTGTAATATGTAAGAGTTTGCAATGTAAATGAAGATAATTATTTAAACCCAAGGAATAGCAAGAATAAAATTAAAACAGCCACTTTTAGCCCAAGCCGGTTTGGCTCAGTGGTGGAGCGTAGGTCTGTGGACTGAAGGGTCCCAGGTTCGATTCCGGTTAAGAGCATGTACGTTGGTTGCGGGCACATCCTCGGTGGGGGTGTGCAAGAGGCAGCTGGCCGATGTTTCTTTCTCATTGACGTTTCTAGCTCTCTATCTCTCTCCCTTTCCTCTCTGTTAAAAATCAATAAAATAAAATAAATAAAACAGCCACTTTTAGAGAAAACACTATAATAAGTGATTTTTATTCCTACATGGTTGTCCTGTTTAGGTAGATTAGGTTTTGAATTTGATTTATGCTGACTGGGCCATTGGGGGAAACACTGACTATTTCTAACTGAAATATTTACTTAGGAAATTTATGTGTAACATCATATGATTATTTTTATTTTATGAAAAGTAATTTGTATAAAATTCATTTAAATATTTTGATTTTTAAAAAGCAAAGTAATTACAATTGATCACTAGTATTTGTACATCAGAATTCAAAAGTAGCATGGTCTCAGAAATGTAACAGAATTTTCAGTTATGTAAGGACTTATATGGCGGACTAGTGAAATACACTAATCTGATGCTGTTTTTAGGGTTAGACTAAGCAAATTAATGGTAATTGTATGCGACATATATACACTGAGTTGCC